TATATTTATTATATATATATATATATATATATATATATTCAAAGGAAAGTGCACTAATACACTCACTCCTAATAGTCCAATACCAACACCAACACCAACACCAACACCACAGAACAAAAGGAAGGGGAGAGTCCTTCCAAACCTGGAAAGCCGAAACCTTTGTTCCTTCGTTTAGGATCCCCTGCAGGTACCATTTTCCAATCATAATGTTCATCAACCCCAATCTCACCGTCAGTATACCGGGGCCTACCTTCGCTGGAATAAAAGAACAGTCGGATCAATATTCTATCGCAACGGTCGTTGTAGACGATCCCCTTGACCCCTTCCTTTTTCCCTCCCTCGCCGCTCCCAGTTGCGCCGTTAAGTCTCTCTGACGCGTTCGATGATACCAGCAATTATTTCTACCCCCAATTCCTCCTCTCGCTGTCTTCCTCTTTTATATCCCCTTCTCTCAACGATCGCTAAACCCCTGGTGGAATCGGCGCCGTTCGACGCCATCGGCATTGGCCTCGATGGAGCAGCCGCCGCCTCCTCCTGCCGCCACGTATGCCATCATCGGCCCCGAGTGCGCCCTTCTTCCGCTCTCCCCCCTTTTCTTCCTTCCCCCCCTCCCCCCTCCCCCCTCCCTCCTGGTCCTGCCTTTCGATCACGGTATGTCGACCTTGTTGCAGACTTCCACTCTTCGCCGGGAGCTCGTCGTACCAGGATCCGGATATCGTGGAGGTCCCGCCGTCGTCGTCGGCCTGGACGCCCAGCCAGCCGAAGCGGAAGCGGAGCCAGGTGCAGGGATCTCCCTCCCCTGTCTTTTGTTTCTTTCGTTGTCCAATTCTGTTGTCTCGATCGCCCGAAACCTCCCTTCCATTTGAATGATCGCGTAAGGAGATGTTGATGGCTTCGGTAAAAGTCCGATCTTCATGGGCGGATTCAGGTTTTGATGTGCCTCTTTCTTGATTGTGTCACCCGGTTATTAGTCTTGTCGACGTCGGATCCTGGTTGGAATTAGAAAAGCCCTAAGAGTGCAGAAGCATGACTTAGAATGAGTTTAGTAGTAGCACAGTAATCTACTTGTGTTTATCTTGGAAAGCTCCCTGCTATGCTGATTATTCTTCTTCCTTGCATGTGGAACTTGTAGATAATTTAGTGCTTTCTTGGTGATTATGCCATCCTTCTTGCTTGCCGACTTCATAATTTATTTAGTGCTTTCTTGGTTGGACATGCATTGAATCCTGCTTGAAGAAATGAATGTTTGTTATTATATTAAATATGAGAAATAGCTGTTCTCGGGTTTGTCATTGAACTGAGATCTGATCTGTATGTGTGCTTCGAAGGTACTATGATAATGAAGAAGTAGTTTCTGATCAAATGAAATTGGCTGCTTGTGAAACAATTAAATGCTCTGTTTCGTTTGCCATAAAGGTTAGCTCTAGGATGTGGTTCTCATTCATTTTTTCTGTATTTGGTATCTAAGTTTGCATTCATGTTTGTTTTAAGGGGTCAAGCTGTTTTGGCCTTTCATAAATAGGTTTATGTGGATGCTAAGAAGCATTAGGTGTGCAAGCCTTGTGTGCGTGCACGATTGTCTTAGTCTATGGGTTCGACTTCCTGGATCCTGATTGGCTATTTGCCATGCAAGGCTAATGTAAGGCCTGCATTGCAGAACCATTACATTAGATTTCTGGGTTTGAATTTAGCTTTTGCACGCACAATTGGATTTGTGTCTGGGCTCCACTTCCTGGACCCTAATTGGCCAATTGCCATGCAAGGCTAATGTAAGGCTTGCTTTGCAGAACCATTATATTAGATATCTGGTTTTGAATTTAGCTTTTGTGTGGTAATCTATATTTGTGCCTTTTTTATTTCATGGAATAAGAATTGTATTGTTGTGATGTGTACAATAACTAACATCCTAAATAAATGATTGCTATGTGATTTTTTGTTATGTGACTCTCCCCTTTTGAATCACAATCTTTTCTTTCTTTTCCTTGATTTTGGTGTTTGTTGTTCATAAAATTTGTCTATGTGCTACACAAAGTACATAAAACATGCTGCAGTTTCATCACTTAATTAGCTGTTAATTTTTTAGTTACCTCTAGATCTGTCTTTCATAGAGGCCATCTTTGTGAATAGCAACTGTTAAGAAAGTGGATTGATAAAGGATAGCTTAAATGCTTGTTGAGGTTTTAATCATGTCTGCTTTTAAGGTTGTTCCTCATGATGTAATTGAGCTTGATGGAGATGATGACCCTGATGATGTCATGATACTTGGCGATAGTACTTCAGATTACAAGAACAAACAACCTGTTAGACATGATAAAAGCTGGCAAAAGCAAGTAAAGGTACAAAAAAAGTTATTCATGTCTGCATAAAGAATTTATTTATACATGAACATGTAGTTTTCCTTCATACATTATGTAATAATCTAGATAAGAAACAATTTACTTCTTTTGTCTTCAAATAGGATGCCTTATCCAATGATCTTCTGAGTTCAAGTGCAAATAATGGCTCTGAACATGCTGCTCCACTGGATAGTTTAAAAATCTATGATTCAGGACCGCTTGATCTCAAGTATTTTGATGATCTTGAAAATGAGTATGCTTATGATGAAGATGACTATGATGATTATGAATCTGGTGCTGAAGTGATTGAGAATGTTTTCAATTTCAATTTGGCTGCAAAATTCGATGATTTGGACCTGCCAACTGGCATTGAGGCAACTGTACCATGGTTGAAGAATTCTGCAGCCGAAGAGCCAAGCAAGAACAAGCAGACACTAGTGCTTGAAGATGAAATTGATACGAAATATAGATTGTTTAAACAATTTGATACTGTTCGCGACCACTCAGATCATCATTTCACCAGACCAGGGCATCTCAAAATTGCTCCAACTGTTAAGAAAGTTAGTGAAATAGTGTGGTTGTATCATCATTTGTGTGTTTTTTTTTTTTAATTTGACGTTCTAGATCTCTTTATAACTTATCCTGATATTAACAGCCTTCAAAAGATTGGGCAAAGAGGATTCAGCATGAGTGGAAGGTCTTGGAAAAAGATCTACCTGGTGAGTTTGTTACATGTTTTGCACAATATAGTAAATTCTGGATTTCTATGATTTTGTTGGTGTAAATCTGGTTGGATATCATTTTTACAGCATTGTGAATATACCAGTTTGTCCTGTTCTGTACTCAGTGACAAATCCATCCATTTTACCAAAAATAGAGTACTTGTTTTGACTAGGACAGGTTTCATGTGACATAGATTTTGGAAAGAAAAGAAAAGGAGAGGGGGGGGAATCTAGCTTCTTTACTTTTCTTGTCTTATGAAAAGTATCGTTAACCCTAATAAGTTGAAGTATCTAAACAACTACCTCTGTTATCCCCAAATAACAATGTTCTGTCCAAGGTTCACCTTACCAGCCTATACTGGTGTACCGACTAACTGTTGGTACGATATGTATCGAGGCATACCGACATATTGTATGTCGGTATGCCAAGGTGTACCGATGGTATGCCCAAAATCATCGAAAATAGCTCCAAAAATACCTGAAAAAAAAGTTAGATTAGAGTTTTGAAATTGAAAATAAATATAAATTATATAATTTTAGCAAAAATAATCTAAATTAAGAAAGAATAGTGATATTTTTTTTTTTCTGACTTTGAGGAATAGCTTTGTGGTATGTTTCGAACTTTTAGGAGTAGCTTTGTGGTACGTTCCGGACTTTGAGGAGTAACTTGTCTTGAAAGGATTTACGGACCATCGTCGGAACCTTATTTCATTTTGCAACATTGGGATATCTATCGGCCAAATACATCTTCACCTGGGTGATTCCTCCACCCTTATCGAAGTAATCATAATAAATGCATTACCAACAATGACGGTTCCCATTTATCTTTCGGGCATGATCCCAAGCGTCACCATATGTCTATGTCTGTTCCTTTGGTGCCATGCTCCTGCCAAAATCGAATCAAATAAGCAAGCTATGATTAGCCCTAATTTAAAATAATAAGGTGCGATTATACATAATGAACTATACTTTATCACTATAAGCATGTCAATCAACCTATTCGGCATTAAATACGTAGAATTAATTCAATATCATTAAATTTTAAATTAAATATACTAATATAGTAATAGAAAAACACTCTAATAGGCATTAAAGACATTTAATTGATTCAATGAGTCAAATTTCGATATCAACGTAATTAAATACACTAATCACAGC